GTTCATAATTAATTTGAAAATGTTACAATGTACACTGTATGTTGTTCAATTACGTTACAACTATGCTAAACAAAAATATGAATGGACTTGTCTATAATTTCACAGAAGCTCCATCAAAAATAACCAAAGCTGACTACAACGATCAGTATAACCGCCGTGCCCGCTCAGTGTCACCAGCTCGTGATCGCGTCACCAACAGTAATGAACTGAAACCTCCCGATGTGAATGATGGACAACTCTCTGCACCCAATAATGGTGAGTGGAATTTTAGCTTTCATATTTGTCTGTCACATGTGTATGTACCATACATGTATTTGCAATAGCTGTGTCTATGCGACTTGTATAGCTTATGGGTGTTTTTTTTGACTGATTAGTACAATTAAAAAGCACAATGGCATTTATAGAATTAGATGCTCTCAATTAACTAATTATGGGACTTGTATAGCTCATTGAAGCTTAACTTGGTTTTGTTTTTGACGTATTATTAGTAAAGTTAAAAAGCACAATGCCATTCATAGATTTAGATGCTCTCAATTAACTAATTGCATTTATTTACTAAAATCATGTACATGTGTGCTTAGATAATTTGAATAACTCATTAGAACTTGGATGTATTATGATGTAAGCTCTGATTGGTCAGCTTAAAAATGAAAAATAGTTTAGCTTGCATTATTACTTTTAGTCAGCATGTGAGTGTGAGTATTACCGTAGGTAATCTGTGGCAGTGCACTGATGGCTCTGATTGGTTGATTGGTTCAGAAAGAAAGTCAAACAGTATTCAACTGAATCAGATGTATTTTGTTGATTGTTCTGATTGGTTCATTTGAAGTGCAAGATTGCATTCAAATTAGGTTCAATAAGACTATATAAAGTGTAATTTTGTTGCGATTTTTGTTAGAATGTATAATTGAGTAGCTAATTGATTTTTAAGTATGAAACACTGTGTTTTTAGAGTGAGAAAATTTAAGAATTGACAAATAATGATAAATGAGAGAAAGCTGATTGGCTGATGAATTGGAGAAAGCTGATTGGCTGATGAATTGGAGAAAGCAGATTGGCTGATGAATTGGAGAAAAGCTGATTGGCTGATGAGTTGGAAAAAGCTGATTGGCTGATGAATTGGAAAAAGCTGATTAGTTGATAAATGGGAGAATGTTAAATGATTCATAGATAGAGGAAATCTAAAATGACTTATAAATGGGGGAAGTTGTACTAGCTTGTACTAAAAGATTCAGTCATTAATCGCTTGCCGATTGAATCAAGTGGATTGGTTTAGTAAGTATGTGCATGCTGACTGGCTTGTGCTGATTCAAGTTTTTCAAATCTCATTAAATGTACAGAATTATCACACGTCAATAACACTGTTGAGTCTGTGGCTGACACCGCAATACGACATCTTACAGACCCATCTGCCTCCAGATCACGAGCTCCAATGAAGAAAAGCACCTTGATAATCCAGGGAGTATCCAGGGTGAGTAATACCAGCATGCTTTGCAATGGAGAGAGTGGTAAGTAGGTTGTCGTAATTCGTCTATGTGCAAACTTTCCTGCCACTTGAAAAATAAAACAGTTTGTCAACAGTGACGCACTAAATTTTTCAGAAACTTTTAGGTATCATGAATATAATACAGGAGGAAGACATTTTTAAAAAGTCTAGATGTATTTCTATAGACTAGAATAAGTCAAAAATTTCTGTCCTTGTGTAACTGGCATGGTTCAGAAAAACCTTACAGTGCTATGAGGTTTTCACCCAATATTATAGAGCATGTTGATATGACTGAGTTGAACTAGCATTATCTATATAGGTGATTGAATAATATAGCCTGCGACACCACCATTATATATCACATCAACTGTTATCAAAATAACAGACAAAGTGTGATTTTATGAAACTACGTTAACGAATTGTATACTAGGCAGACACAAGGCCTTATAAGCATGTCAATGTACGTGTATTAACAGTTGCAGCCACCGGTACCACTTTCAATCATTGTTATGAATTATTGTCATTGGACCATGCAAGTAATTGTTATTATTATACTTCTGTCACCGCAACATCGTAATTTTGCGGTTTTGCACTGAGTATTTTAATCCTACCATATTAGGAAACACAAATTTCAAATATGGAATTATTACGCACATAAGCGTCTTCTAACAATAAAAAACAAACATGACTGCCCCCAGGGTTTGGCCACAAACAAAGAAGCTCGTTAAATCTGTTCCAAATGTTTTGGATTTCCATGATGTATTCTTGGGAGCAAAAGATGTATAAACCTCCGCTGTGAGTCAATCAATACTCCTGCTGTACTGGTTTCAAGCATACTTTGCAGTATCCTCGTAATAACCTTATACTCATTTTGAAATCTTTGTATTGCTGTCATAAAAATAGTATGCATATTTTGGTTTTCACTTCGTACAGTTCAAACATAAAAGGACTGATGGTGTTCAACTTGCATATATTCAGATCTCGTGTCAAGTGTTATTTCACATTGAAAACAACTCCTGTAAATGGTTAAGTGTTGAAAGAACAGTAAAAGTGCTTGATACTTTTTACACTATAATTCATCTGTCTTTTTCTAGGGGCTATTTGTTAATTTTAATTTTTATACTCACTTGAAATATTCACTTTTATTTTGGAATGTTGTCTGCACCGTTCTGTATGCTAATTTTGTCTTGTTTCCTTTTTGCATTTTCCTTATGTTGTTTCCATGGTGAACAACAACTGCTTTGATTCCATGGCAACTACAATAACATAAGGATGAAGATCAGGTAAAACAGCTTATTCTTAATTTTTTTTTTCTTTTCTTTTTTTAATTTGCTTAATGTAATTTTTTTCTAGCTAAATGTTGTTGTCTATGAGAACCTGATAACTGTAGTGAGTAATTCTGAAAATATGCAAATTATATAATTTTCACATGTCCGAACTCATTTAAATAACCGATAAGATTGATAGTAGATAAGGATATGCAACTTGTATGGCAAAAAATGCAAGACATCTCTACTACTGAAAAATAATGCTAGTGTGTCTGAATGGCATGTTTCAATTGGTGTACTTATTGAATAGAATATTCTTTATGGACTGGATATGGCTTTTGCGACCCCAGGTCGTGGAGCAGGAGCGCCCAAGCTTGTGAGTGTGCGTAAGCCGTACGATCGAGGGCAACAAAAGCTGTATCTAGTTCATAAAGTTTTTATCATACACTTTATTGGTGTAATTACAATTTTACCATGGCATGACCTCAAAGACATGATGTACTTCAAAATGACATGTTTTGTTTTGATTAATGAAAGCTGGGTGTTCTGGGCTGGGAATGATACAAAAAATGATTACCCTGATGTGAGGGCGCCCTTCCCATGGCATTATGAGGCTGGGCAATACAAGGTATATGATAATGACCTCTTCATGACCATTTTCGTTTCCATAATTAAATATTTCCAATAAGCATTTAGGCCATTCCATGGCATTGTTTGTCTGATAAAGTTCAATTGATAAAATGTGGAATGTGCACCTAATGAGAATAATCCTATCTATTAGAGCAAATAAGGTACCCTTTGAACAAATTTTTCAAACTGCCATCTATACACATAAAACTCACATGTGTCTGTTTTTACTTTCCGTACCACCTGTGTTGTTTACATTCAAATGCACAAGTTTGTAACATTGAACTTCAGAGTTTACTTCCTGTCAATTTCAAGTCTGATGTAAAGCAGCTGATAATTAACATTAGACATTAAACACAAACACTGTCGTTTAAATTTCGTCTTTCATTCTATTTTTCAGAGTCCTGTTGATGAAAGTCCCAGTCCAAGTCCAAGTCCGACACCAACACCAACAGCCGTCGGCAGCTTCCGAAAAACCAGAGGTAAGCAAACTGTTAATTTTATGCCATGTTCGCTGCCGATTGGAAACCCTATGAATGGTGCTGAGGAGGAGGTTGCTGGTTTAAGGTGCAATGTAGAGCTGTGTATCATGTGATGCCTGCTTTAAATGATAATGGTGTAAATGTTGATTACCTGGTGTCGCAGTGTTGCCTACACCCATGAAACTGTTTGCTGCCCTCTTATGGCAACATTTTTTATTTAAGATTTAAATATTATTAAAACTTTTATTTGACTGTCACTATTAAAATATTTCACCTGTACTATGTAAGCTAATGTCTGTTAGATCTTTGTGATCAAAGTTGATTCAGCACTTGTATTTGTAAAATCATGTCCAGATGTTGACATTCTGGCAGTGGGTTGAGGGCAGTAACCAGCATAACTAGGAATGAACATTGAATGACAAGGAAGGGGGTTACTCAATTATAACAGTGCTGAGAAGAACTGACTTGAGAAGAACCTTGACTCTTGGGAGAACAGTACTGGAACATGCACCTTGGCTCTTGGGTGAACAGTACTGGAACATGCACCTTGACTCTTGGGAGAACAGTACTGGACATGCACCTTGCTCTTGGGAGAACAGTACTGGGACATGCACCTTGACTCTTGGGAGAACAGTACTGGGACATGCACCTTGACTCTTGGGAGAACAGTACTGGGACATGCACCTTGACTCTTGGGAGAACAGTACTGGAACATGCACCTTGACTCTTGGGAGAACAGTACTTGGACATGCACGTTGACTCTTGGGTGATCAGTACTGGGACATGTACCTTGACTCTTGGGAGAACAGTACTGGGACATGTACCTTGACTCTTGGGAGAACAGTACTGGGACATGTACCTTGACTCTTGGGAGAACAGTACTGGGACATGTACCTGGACTCTTGGGGAGAACAGTACTGGGACATGTACCTTGACTCTTGGGAGGACAGTACTGGGACATGTGCCTTGGCTCTTGAGAGAACAGTACTGGGACATGTACCTTGACTCTTGGGAG